CGGGGTTAATAATTCTGCCATCAACTGTAAAGAGCATGTAGAAGTATTCTCACCCAGAGAGACCCCATCAGGGAACTCATCCTTCAGGTCAAAGGCCTCACCAAAGGCCTGCAGGAACTCCAGAACCATCAGAGCATCTCCAAAGAGCTCTGCTGGAAGCCGGGTTTTCACTGGAATTGGCCTTGGCAGCTCCTGGTGGGAGAAACAAAAGAGGAACACATTCAGGAAAATTATAAATGACACCCGTGACACGGTTATGTCAATCAGAGGTCATTAAAATCAATCAGTGTGTAACTTTGCCAAAACAATGTGGGACTCTGGTCTTCTCTGGTCCCCCCCCCCCAATTAGACCAGGAGTCACATGTTTAGTCACATGTTCTCCTTAAATTGCTGTCTGTCCAAACAACCACGTGGGCTTTATAGATGGAGCATTATGGCCCCGCCCCTCCCTGAGCCTGGTTCTGGCTTCTTCCTGTTAAAAGGGAGTTTTTCCTTCCCACTGTCACCAGGTGCTTGTTCATAAGGAGTCATCTGATTGTTGGGTTCTGTATGTGTTATTGTAGCGTCTACCTTACAATATAAAGCACCTTGAGGTGACTGTTGTTATGATTTGGCGCTGTAGAAATAAAACTGAACTGACTCAGTGTTTACAAAATGAAACAACTGAAACTACAACAAAACTGCAAGTATGCTTCTGTAGCAGCGACTCATAGACGATGACATCTGATGCTGCATCTTGAACCCTGGTTTATAATCTGTTGCAAACATGGACACCAGGAGGACCAACGACTGAGCAGTCATTCCTGTAACAAGGGAGTCCAAGCAGTCACACAAAACAGGCATCAGCACAGACCCTCACGCTCACTGTCTGATGACAGATTTACATCACAGGACCCAAGTGAGCTCTAGGCGAAAGCGTCATTAAGGCTCAAATCCTCCTCACGTGTAGTTGCTACGCCATTTTTAGAGGCCTGTGCTGACTTCAGTGACACGTCACCACAGACAGGATTTCCATTAGACCAAGCTCCTTCTAAAAGCTTGTCTCACTGCTCCTCAGACAACAACAGGCACTACTGAGTCACTCTCATGTAAAGATAACAGTGAGTGAGGAACAGTGTAACACAAAACAATGAGGAAGTGAAAGTCTTCAGACACAGCGTTGCATTTGCTAATGTTTCTTGTTTTAAATGTGACAGCTGTGTTGTAAACTGTGTAAATGACTTCCACTCGCTCCCCTGTACCAACACTAAAGCTTCAGTCAACATGCTTGTCCAAATGTGCTCATGGCAGAGGCGGTGCATTCACTGACCTTCAGGTCTTCACACTCCATGTCCTCTCTGGGTTTGCTCCAAAGCTTCAGCTGCTCTGCGTATTTCTTCTTCTCCTCCTTTAACTTCTCTCGTTCCTGTGAATCAGCAAACATGTCTCAACCATTCCTGTCATTTTTCTGATGTGCAGCTTTAATCATCAGATGTGCAGCTACATCTGATGGTTAAAGATACTTACCCGGTCTTTCTCCAGCTTCCTGCGCTCCTTCTCCTCCCTCCTCCTCTGCTTCTCCTCTTCAAACCTGCGTCTCTGTTCCTCCCGTAGCCTTTCCTTGTCCTCCCTCTCCCTCCGCCTGGCTTCTTGCACCTCCTCCTTTTCTTTCTTCAGTCGCGCCTTGTCTTGAACTGCAGCCACCATCTCCTCCCTCTGCTGTAGCAACTTCAGTTTCTCCTCTGCAGCTTTCAGTAGAGACGAACTCGCCTGAAAACAACGTTTACATGCTTTATTTGTACACAAACGTAACATTTCAGGTTTACTTAATGACAGAGTAAACCGCAGACACCACTGACACTCATTCCTGTTACACTACAGTTTGAAGGGTGCACTCTGTGTCTAAGGATGACGTTTATGTGACCTGGACCAAAGAAACCTGCTCATCTTGTGGATACAGAAACTTTAACACAAACATGGAAACTAACATGGGTGAGTGGTTTCCTCAAAGATCAGTTCTGCAGCAACAATTAATATCAAGGCTACGTCCACACGTACACGGGTATTTTTGAAAACGGAGATTTTCCGTTTTCGTTTTAAAAAATAATCCCGTCCACACGTAAAGGCAGAAATGAAGGAAAACGCTGCTAGGAACATGCCAAAGCAGCAGGTGGCGCTATAGTCCTAACCGTGTAGAAATGTTGGCCAATCAGAAGTCTAGAAGCCTCGGTGGGAAACAGTAAACAAAGTTGGGGCGTAGAAGCAGAACCGAGTCGTATATGTGGAGGGACAGTAACTGTGTGTGTATATGTAAGCATAAACACTGCAGAGAGTACAATTAACAGTAACAGTATTGTAGAAATTTCACCAAAACAATAACACGTGCACAGTGTGACGAGATTTTAAAAATCTCAGTTTTCAGTGACCGAAAACGCCGTTTACGTGTGGACGAAAGGTGCAAACGCATAGAAAAATCTGCGTTTTCAAAAATACCCGGGTACGTGTGGGCGTAGCCCAAGACTTTTGAAGAGTTTGGCGTTTTTAATGGAAAACATAACAAGATAACAGGGTACAAACGCATGCCAAATCTAACAGCAGGGTCTCAGGCTAATGTCACCAGCTCACATTTATAAACACAACGTTTAAGTAGAAGTTGTCGTGAAACTGTAACATTTCAAAGAGAGCATGCCTGTGCGGCTGATTAAAAACACTGGACTAATCTAATCAGATGTCATTGATGTACAGCATCAGTGTGATAATAAAACATCAGCTACTTCTAATGACTGACAAAAAGCTGCCACTACATAGCAGCAGCCCCCCTGCCTCTCACTGGTGTGACTAAATGCAGACATGTCTCACCCCTCACTCTTCCCAACGCCCTGCAGGAGCAAACTCAACTCTACACCTGGAAGGCTTTTGGCAACCACAAGCCTGGACTCCCCCCCCGTTTCCTGTTTCTCGTTAACGGCTCCATGTTAAACTGTGCTGGCGTCATCATCACTGCTGCTGTTGTAATATCAGCGTTTTGCTTTAACACCCGTGTGGGCCTGATGTTGTTAGACTTTATTTACACTTATGGAAACAGGCTCCATCTTGACAAACTGACCGGATATTTAAAGATTATGTCACTACATTCTCTGCTGAAAAAATATTAAAAGTGTATTTGGTGAAGCACAAACAGGCTATTTCAAAACATCAAGTATAGTTTGGGTGACTTTTACACGGTCGGTACAACATCTGCCCCAATTTGTCGATCAATGTCAAACTGTCGCCTCACTGGTCAACAGCACAGAGCTGCTTCATCCTCTGGGGTCGCATCCAAATCACTCGACCGATTTAAGATGATATCACTGAGGAGCAGTCACACCACGTCTCCATTTCAACTTGTGTTGAAGGTGCGGACTTCAAACTATATATATGTTTTTAAAATTGTGTTAATGGGCCAGTCAAACCAGAGTTATATGTGAAGCTTTTTCCTGAATACTATCATCATCAGAGCAGGAAGGACAGGCTCACAGGCACTCTGCTCGCACTGAACCCGTTTACTGTTGGTGGGAAAATGCACCACGTCAAACACAAGAAGAATGACCACGTGATATTTGGTTGTTTAGGAAGAGGAGAACGTTTTAGGAGCGAGTGAGTTTTAGCGGGATTTGAGACGAGAGATCAGTGCCACACGGTGTGTTTGGAGTCGTTTGTTTTGTGTCAGAACAATGAAGACAAAACCAAACGTCACAGTCGCTTCAAAAAGCCACCAGAGGCCGTTTGCGGCGTAAACGCAGGGGAGTGATACACCTCCTGCTGGCAGGCCTGTGATTGGCTCCTCTGTCTTGTGTTGGACAGAAACTATTTTTTGGAGTGGCACAAATAAATTCTGTGACAGCGAAACTGTTCTGTAATTTTATTTTCAGTAGTTTGAAATTGTTGTACAAAAAAGACATTGGCTGCATTTTTAGGTAAATAGTTGCATATAACTTTGCTGCTTCCAAAATCTGCGGATATGTTTTTAAAACTGAGAATTTCTCTTAGCATTTCATGATGATTTTCGCATTTTCTTGTGATTAAAGATCAACTGAAAAAAATGAAAAAAATGACTGTAAATTCACAAATCAACCAGTCTTGGACTTGGATGTGCCGACTGTCATTCCCATTGCTTTACACTCGGCTGCAAACTGCTCCAGTGTAAGCTGGAGGTCATAACTTAATGAGGCCAACGTAGTGAACTTCGAACCGGTGAACGTCTACCGCCGCACCATCCGGAGCATCCTGACCAACTGTATAACAGTCTGGTACGGGAGCTGCTCTGCCTCGGACCAGAAGGCGTTGCAG